GAGAGAGAGAGAGAGAGAGAGAGAGAGAGAGAGAGAGAGAGAGAGAGTTGTCGTGCAAACATGTAGACGACCAGCCTCTTCTCTCCATCCCCCACTTGCTGTTAAGGAGTCTCCTGAATCTGACCTTCAATTATACGCAATGATCAAAGCGGCAAGATAGCAATAACAGTAAAGAGGGAGACAGAGGAAACTCGCTCATCAGGGACAGACCCCTTTTTCCCCTCTCTTTTCTGATATCATCTTGACCAGCCACAGAGTCCGTTTCACAGGCCACTCTGTGATTAAGGCTGTGATGGTTGGATTTGTTGGTCCATATGGCGCAGTTATTATCATATCACCATTGGTTATTGCACCTCTAGACGCAAGTATTCAGCCTCCTTATGAGTCAGTGAAACTGGGAGGAACCCGTCTGTCACAGCTCCTCGTCCGCATTCCTTTTCTCTCTCCTTGCCTACAGTTCACCAGGCAATTCTCTACGACAATACATATCCTCATAGAGAACCGCCTGGGTTGGAAAGAGAGGAAGGATCATCTCTGGGAGGCTCAGCTCAGTTCTCCTGCTTGGAGCCATTTTCTTTTCAATCACAATAAACGGAAGTCCGGAAAGCATCATGAGGGGCTCGACAGCCCACAACTGCGCTCGCTGATGCATGCTCGCTATGAGTCCTCTATAATGCAAGCCCAAGATCACCAACATGGGGAAGAGATACAATGTAGCACAGTGGAGGTTCAAACCAGATAGAGACAGACCTGACAATGCAGCAAAATGACACTGTGACTCCGCTCCAATCTCACACTAGAAGAGGAGGGGTCCAAACACAGAAGAGACATCCCCGCCGCAACCGTGCACAGAAAAAGGCGGACGCAGAACTCACACACACACACACACACACACACACACACATGCCTATTGAGTACCCCTGCATGGTGTAGGACCAAGTGATCACCAAAGTGAGGAGAAACGACAATGCAAAGCAGCGGGAGACTGAAAGACAGCAATCTGACTCAGCAGACTCATGGCTCAACACACACATACATCATCACAAGTGTCAAGATGCAAGGAAGGGGAACATACATAGACAAAAGTTCCCTCCTTGCTCACACGCCCATGGGGAGAAGAAGCACATATGATGGAGGTAAGGAGGAGACGAATGTGCAGAGGAAGAAATGAAGAAGAAGAAGAAGAAGAAGAAGAAGAAGACAGTGCGACCTAATGTAATAACCAAATAATAATAGCCGCTCCCCAAGTCCCACAGTCATCACCAGTTAAATGTCAAGCCAAGACCTGCAGGCAAAACCTGCCTGAAATAGTAGCCAAGTTTCAGATCTCCTTCTCTCTAGAAGTATGAAGAGGTGAGGTAGATATGGAGGGTGGGGAAAAAAAGAAGAGAAGAAGAAGAAGAAGAAGAAGAAGAAGAAGAAGAAGAAGAAGAAGAAAAAGAAGAAGAAGAGAAATCTCTCTCTCTCTCTCTCTCTCTCTCTCTCTCTCTCTCTCTCTCTCTCTCTCTCTCTCTCTCTCTCTCTCTCTCTCTCTCTCTCTCTCTCTCTCTTTTGGACAATACTGACCAAAGGCAGAGCCTTGACCCGCTGATGCACTGCAGGTGTATTGAAGAAGAAGTCCAGCTACTGCCAGTGGCAGATCTCCAAGCTAGGGCAGACAGGGGGTGGACTCCTCCACTCCACTGCACCCCCAACCTATCCTAGCTCTATTGAGCAATGGTCTACCGCCTCTACCACTGGGCTGCTCCTCTACTCCACTCGCAGCCTGGTGGCACACAAATGAATGAACAACTACCTCCCAACTACTGGGCCCAGCCTCTCCTACTACTGTTGGGCTGGCCACTACACCACCCAGCTTTGCATCTTGGCCATCCAATCAACCAAGGATCCGGCAGTCCAGCCGAGATGCCGCATGGTTGAAGTCTGCCCCAGTGCTCAAAACGTGTGGCCTGGGTCCCTACCGAACTTCAGGCCTTCCCTTCCTGTCTCAGCAACAGGGCCGGGTCTGAAAACTGGCCTGGGCAGAAAAGACGAACACAGGCCCAGCCACAAACAGACAAGCTGGGCCAAAACTTGAAATGGCAGAGGTCTGAACAGGATGAAGCTAGGCCTATCCAGACAAAGGGGCTCGTCGCACCACTCCTAAAGTCATCAAATTTTGAGAGAGGAACGTCGCCACACCAGCTCCCGAATTCAACTTGTCACATAGAAATCGGGAGCTGTCAGGATTCGGGGCTCGAGAGCAATCTCAAACATCCTGAAAACGCCCGCCTGTGAAAGGCCATTTTTGGGAGACATCAGGAGGAAGGCTGGTTTCCTTATGAAAACTCATGGGGAGATCCTCGCGGACACATCAAGGGTAGTCATAATTTTGGCATTTTCTGTCCCATTGCACAGAAGACAACACCTTTACCTCAACTCCCCACTTTGAGAGTGCAGTGTGGTGATGAGGCCTCTCGACAGCGATTTCCAGAATTTTGGTGTGGCAAGGCCCAAATACCAGCACGACACATCTTATAGACCAAACGAACGCCGGTATGATCTAAAACGAATTGGCTAAAAACAAAGTCGGACAAAACGAATTGGCTCAAAACAAATTCAGACAAAACAGATTGGCTCAAAACAAAAACATTCCAACACAAACAAAATATGCAACAATCAAAACCAAAGCAAACTCAAAAAATTGTTCTGAAGCCTTTCTCAAGCACACCCACTAACAGTAAATGGCAAAGTTGGTCATAAAGACTCATAAACATTTTGGTCATGAATTTATTTGGTCTCAGATCTGGAGAATTTGCTTCAGTTTGCATCACATCAGCCTCATCAGGTGTCACATGGTGGTGGACAGCATACAAAGTTGAGGGCAAAGGGACGTTGGCAGTACTCACTTAGATATAGGTGTGGTGATATATCGTCAAATAAACAGTTTGTCACAGCCCCTCGTTTGTTGTCGTCGTTCTCCCTCTCTGCCTACAGTTTACCGGGCAGCTGTTTTCGACGATATATATACGTGGATAAATATTTATGTGCAAAATGGCAATCCCGAGGTTCCGCTCCCACGCCCTCTGCAGCAGAGCACGATCCAACCAGAATATTGCAAGTCGCTAAACCCACGTGATAGGTATCTGAAGAAGCAAGCAGAAAGAACAGAGCAACCCACATACAATATGGCCAACTGGGGTTAGGCAACAACAAAATGTAGTCAAGCTACTACACCCTCACTGCGTTTCGTTATACGTGTGAATTGGTGTGATTGACAAAGGTAAGGTAACTAGTAAATACATCCTTCAACCCCCTCAACACAAGCGCATCTCTCTCTCTCTCTCTCTCTCTCTCTCTCTCTCTCTCTCTCTCTCTCTCTCTCTCTCTCTCTCTCTCTCTCTCTCTCTC